GGGGGGGGGTAAAAAAGGGAGGGGAGTTGGGAAGTTAATTTACAGTACTGATGTTGTTCGCACAACTCTATGATTTCTCAGTTCAGCCCGAAGCTCCTGCCGAGAGACACATTTGCGAGGTAAAAACAAAACCGTTAGTAAAATTGCCGTTCCTACTTCCTACATAAATTGCTTTGTTCAACATGGTAGTGGTATTAAAAAGGAACAGGCAGTTGGTGCTCGTATTCCTTTTGAGCACTTTTGCAGTTGTCATTTTATGGATGGTTTCCGTTATGAACAAGAAGACCGCTTCCATTTTAACAAGGGATACGACTCTACCAGGTTCGGGGAATACCCGGTTGCTTCCCCTTCTAGAGGTAACGAATTCTGGTGAATCGAACCACAAACGACCACCTGAAAAATTGACGCTACCAGTGTACATCGTGGAAGAACACCATGAGGTAAGGACAGAACTTTTTTGCAGCTAGTCTAACTTTAGTATTTTATCATTCATTTTTTTGTATGTGTGTCTTGTCCATTCAGTTTGACTGATCGATTTTCTTTTTTAAAATTTATTCCTGCAGCTGTCTGTTTCTGATTTTGAAAAAAGTTCTTTTCTGTTTTTGTTTCAGTTATGGTTCTGTTCATTTACCTTGCATGTTTTATTGGGCTTCGTCTTTTCTTCTTCTTTTTTTTTTGGTATGCTCTGCATATCATAAGGTGTTTAAACACCTTGCGTCTCTGCCAAAAACATTAAGGCAAATAGCAAGGGTAGACCGAGAAAAAATGTACTGGGAGAACCTGATCTGATACAATTTGCACGGGTGTTTGATCTTTGGTTTTGAAAGAAAGAAGAACTCGCATTCAAGTACTCTAATAAAATATTAAAATAGTACAGGGTATTAGATTTAGCTTTCGTGTAAACGGCAATAGATCTAGCTGTTTTTATAACATCTTCTTCCTGTGGTGTTTTTGCTCGGGGCAATGCATTTTTATATTTTAAAAAAGATTCAGAAGTAAATACCACACGTATGCCTACGCATCAGAAACCGTGATTTTCATTTTAAAATATAGTACTTCACGTCAAAGGTTATAGCCCCACCTGTACGATTTCACTTGTATGATGTTGCCGCTACTTTTCTTTGTTTCTCTCTTTTTTATTTCCATTAAATAGCTTTTCATGCTCAGAACTGGCGCACAGTTTTCTCAGTTAGTGTCATGCTAGACTTTGGAGCGGATGGCCATGGCTCGAATCCCCAACGCGGCTTCCGAACCTTGGTTGCTCTGGGAGTGATTTTTAAGGTTCTCCACTCCTTTGGTTCTGTTTCCATTGGAGATTGCCGTTAAATTCAGAGGTTCTGCAAATTAACTACACTTACAGTGTTCAAAGGAACATTAAACCAACACGACTTCACAAAAAAGTTCAGAATAAGATATCATGATTTGATCTGACTGTTATCAAGTAGACTGTTTGTCCTTTCACCACTCACAGGTAATCCCATACTGGTTCCACGCTGCTGAGTCGGGCCGGCTTCCTAGTCCAAAGGGGAATACATTGGTAAAACAGTTGTCCCCGGATCTTGTCGTTCGGAATTTTGTTTTTGTCAGGTTCTTTTTTTTTTTTTTTTGGTTGGCTGGTTGATCAGTGGGTTGGTTGATTGGATTGTTTTTCTGTTGGTTGATTGGTTGCTTGATTCGTTGGTTGGTTTCATAGCTTGGTTGTGTGTTTGTATTTGGTGTTGCTTTGGCGCATACCTTGATATCGGCATTGTTTCTACTGGATGTCCCTGTTTTCTTCTTTGCTTAACACCTGAGCCTGCATGAGCAATATCGATGTCTCCAAAATGCTACACAGGTATTATTGCTCCATTGCAATATATTTTCCTTACTGAGGTGAAAACAAAATAATAATGGCAAACTTGTAAAACCTCTTTGGCTAACTCTTGTCGGGTTTTTTTCCTTTTACAAAACAAAACTTGGTCATGACTTTACTTTTTCCTTTATTTTCTCATATTATAGTAATTATAACATAAATGACACCTATACAGAACTCAACCCGGATTAAATAACCAAGGCTCTGGGTGCTTAACAAATACAATTGGCAACATATAAACAGTACATTATTCGACTTAAATCTAGGTGTATCTCCTACATCTTTTTTTTTAAAGCACACCATCTGTACTGGCATAATGGGTTAAATAGATTTAGTTTGATCTTCCACGGAAGCCCCTGACTCGGATTCAAATGCCCTTCAATTAATTATTGCTTTTGCAATTCCTTGAAATATTTCCCTTCACCTTGATGATGTTGAACTAATTAATGCTGCATGCCCTGCTATGTTTGACGACTGCCATGCAACCAATCAGGGTTATTTCGCTTTATATAATATCATTTACATAAGATATCGAGTGTTATGGGGCCCTGTTGCTGGGCATCCACTAATATTTTGTTGGAGATGTTAAGTTATGCAGATCTTTATTACTCTTAGCTGTAAATGTGTTACGCTACCATCTAGACACAATCCAGGTAATTTAAGAGGTGGGCTGCTTCTGTCCTACTTGTCTGGGCAAACAAGAGCTTAATTCGACACGTCTTTGCAGAAAAATAAAACTGTTCTATGAAATAACTTCTCAATTTCGGAATCGGAACGCATGTAGGAAGGCTGCAGGAAGAAGCGACAAAATGTTACACCACAGACGCCAGTCCTCGAAGTCTCTTTATTCCCCACCAAAACACAGATATTACTACCAATCCTTTGAGTTAATATTCGTATTGTTACTGCTGCTGGTGGCATTATTGTTGACTTGTTTTTGTTTTTTTGTTTCATGATGTTGTTGTGTTTTGTGTTTTGTTGTTGTTGTTGTTTGCTTGTTTTTTGTTGGGGGTTTTTTTTTTGGCTCTTGCCTTTTCTTTTCCTGTTTTCGTATGACTTCATAATCTATTTCAGCGAGGAAGAAATTGTTTTCGCTCTTTAACCCAGCTGACTGCCCTCGCCTTTTTCTCCGTTAAACATGAAATATTTTGACCTGCTGGTGTATTATGATAGTTTGTTGAGTTTTTCCCCCCTCCTCTCTCAGGTACATGTGGATGCTCACTCAGACATGGCCATACCAGTTGTCAGTCCAGACTTCCCTCTTTTCCGCTGGCCGAAGAAATCGGAGATACCGATGCTTATGACAGAGAACGACAGGTTTATCGTTGTGAGTTGCCTACTTTGTTTTGTTTCGGTTGTTGTAGTTTGTTTATTGTTGTTTTTGTTTTTTTGTGGGGCGGGTTCTTGTATATTTGTTCTTGTTTGTTCTTCTCTCTTTGTATATGTGTGTCCATTTAATGCATTTCCTTTTTTGGAAGACTCTCTCAACTTTGCTCTTTGCTTGTCAGTTATTTCCTGTATACTTCCTCACCTCCCTCACCCCCTTTTTTAAACGGAATATGCCGATTTGAATCCTTCTATTCATGTAGAGCTGGAATCGAATCCACAAAACGTTTTATTGTACATGTAACGACCAACTTTCATGCGGAAAATATAGAGGAGAGTGAGAGGAGGCTAAGTAGGAGGGCGCGAAGGAGGGGGTGGTTGTGGAGAAGGAGGAGGAGGAGAGGAGGAGCAGAGTTAGGAGAAAAAGAAGGAATATGGATTTAGATTTGAGCAGTGATAGGTAAGGGATACAGACGATGTTGTTGTATTTGTCGTTGTTGTTGTTGATGATGATGATGATGATGATGATGATGATGATGATGATGATTATGATGATGATGATGA